ACACTCCTACGACGGCGCAGCTAGATCCCAAACCGAGACAGTAGTTATCCGCTCTCCCGTGACTATTGCCTCGACAGGATTAATATGTTTATATTTACAGATCATTAAGATATATTAATACATCAATTTACAATTGTCATTATTTTTCAAACAGTAGGCACTAGACAGTCTACATCATATTTCTCATGAGGCCTACACCAAACTCATTGCTGTTGTTTTTGAATAAAAGAAACTGCGATTCATCACTCCAAATGATTGTATCCCATTGTTTATCCTGATCTCTACATTTGTGACACTATCTTAAGCATTTTATTCTGTTATTCTCAGAAACAAAGGGTTTTAATGCAGCCAAAAAAGTTATGGTTATGAAGTATATGTCTAGCAGTACTAGTGCTAGTACTAATTTGGTAAGGCCTAGACTGTTGAATAATGATAATAATAACTCAGTAATCTCTTCAAGTAATTCTTTCCTACAATCTTTGGTTACTCATACAAGAGCTCACTCATCACACTCAGTCAAAAGAGGTGGTCACCCTGAACAAGGAAGAGTTTGTGTGAGTTCAACATTAGTGCAAGTAGTTCTGGGTATTCCAAGTATTTTTTGAATGTCTGTCATGTTGTGCTTGCCCTGTGAAGTCTGATAATCATTCCACATTCAAAAACAGTAACAGACTTCATGGGACTTGAGCATTTTTTATAAAATATAGTAAGTAAAGCTAAAAGTGACTTTATTATTTTCAAAAGCTACAGTCTTTATCTGCTCAAGAAAAAAAGTGCTTGAAATTAAGTTAGATGTACAATGAGATATCTCAATTTGAATGTAAGCAATGGGGCACAATTTTATTTGCTGATCACAAAGTTATATGGGGGTGTATTAGTATGTAGATCAGGAATATGAAAATAATAATAATGTGTACTGGAAGGTTAGAAAGTCACTATCAATGTCTGTTTACAAGCAACCACTCCTGTTAGAAGGATCTTCTTCAAAAAGTGCTGTTTGCAAGGGGAAACAATGTATGAAATTGTAGAAATATTAGTAATCATGTCTTTTTGTTATTAATAATCTTTGGAAAAGGTGATTGTAATTGGTCAATAATTTTGTAAAACGTCCAGTGTTAGTGTCTATTAAGTCCCATGTCTGTCTCTCTAGGGGATACTTGCCACAAGGAGCAATATATTTCTCTCTCATTGGCCTACTCCTTGACTTGAGTGCATCACATGCTTGACAATATAAAGATGCAGCCCTGTATACTGTAATGTCTGTTACAACTGGCACAGCAGGGTGTCAGATGTGGTGTTATTGATTCCTGAGTCAGATGAGCACAATTTATATCAAAGTCCCACTGTTTACTGGTTTGGCATTGTAATTGTAATTGGGATCCTTTGAACAATAGTTATAGTGCATTAATATATAAGCATAAACTTCATGGATTGTCTGGTTTTATCATCCATTATATTATCTATTACTTGTTGATGTCACTGATAGAACTGCTTTCATTGTTGCTACAATTACCTTCTTGCCATCAAATGAGAATTTTTTCAAACTTAATATTTAGCTCTTCACTGACTACTCAAAAATGCTCTAAAATTGCATTACATGCCCAGGGCTTTTGGTTGAAAACCAGCTCAAATGGTGTACATTTGGTGACCCTAGACACTAATTAATTCATTATGTAAAGTATTTCCTGTAGGCCAATTGTCCATTTCAAACTTTAATTAAACTCCATCCACATGTACAGTATATGGCAAGCTTTATTTTTCAAAATTGTGTTTCACTATAGTGAGTTTGATGCTTTTTTAGCATTGCAACTGATTCTCAAAAATGCATTGCTTTGTTGTGCCTTGTTACTTGTTCAATGACACCCTGTGATTGAGGATGCCTCAGTCTTCCTTGAATAATTTTTGTTTGTGGCAACATAGTCATAAGTTTGCTAATAACAAGATGATGTAAATTCCATTCTGTTGTCTGTTTGCAGTATGAGCAGAATGCCAAATACAATAAAAATGTCAAAGAAATTTAGATACTTCTTTGCAGCTTTGTTTTTCAATGGCTTTGCCCAAGAAAATGGTTTCACAAATGGAAAATCCACTTATATTGATATTGTCTATTTATATCAGGCATAGTTCCTATATACAGTTGACCTCCCCTACAGTCACATCCCATATAGTCACACCTCCTTACAGTCACACACTGTTTTGGTCCCAGTCATTTTCATAGTGACTAGTGTATAACCTGTCACTTTGTTGACAGTGTGGTTATTTTATATTTTACATTTATACTTTTATTTCACTAATGTTATCCATAATCATAATAATAAAAGTGTTAGGCGTCGCGGTTGTAAACAAAGAAATGATGAACATGTGATGGATAATTTTGTAACACGAATATGCAATGTCTGTCCACCTTGCAGCATCCAGTTTTTTTAAATTATATATAGATTTTCCTCCCCTATATATATAGTCACAACCATATGTGAGTAACTGTCACCTGATTTTGGGAGTCCCACTGTTATAGAACAATATGAAAAATTCACCCTTTATAGTCACTGGTATTGTGTAACATTCAACATTACTGCATAGTTATGGGTAAATTAACAAACATTACATTATATTATCTGCCACCTAATACCATGGCACACCTGCAACTGATGGATGCAGGCATCATCCACAGTTTTAAAACGAATTACAAACAACTATTCTGTCATCATTTGATCAAACAATTTGATGAAGGAGTAGTAGTAAATGCTGACAGCAGGTAAAACTATATTGTTGAAATCTAAAAATTATATATTAATATGTATTACTTATTATTTTTTATTTTTTATTTTTTTTAGATGCAAAATAAATGTAAAAGAAGCAATTGAGTTTATTGCTGCAGCACAGGACTGTGTTACAATAAATACTATTAAAAACTGCTGGTGCAAGACTGGAATACTCTCATCACCAGTTTGTGAGATTGTTGATGTTGCAGGTCCAGTCTTAAACAGTGAAAGATTTATCAACAGTTTGTCAGATGAACAGCACATAGTTTTAGAAAATTATATACATCAACTCAATGTTCCTGTTCCAATAGAGGAACCATTATTATTATCTTTTGAACAAATTGTTGATTTAGTCAATGAAGAAGATATAGAATGTACAAGTGATGACTCTAGTGAAGAAGTATCACCAGTACAATTGAAGGAAGCTCAAATAGGTTTGGAGACTGCTATTAACTTTTTCGAGCAGCAATCAGATAATATAGGTTTTGATATCAAAGACTTGCATATTTTTCATAAGTATTTGAATTTACTAAATGTCAAAGAGTTTCAATTGAAACAACAACAGAAAATTGATGCTTACTTTGGAAGTTAAGAAATTATCTCCTGTATTGTCAGTATTTGATCTCATTATAATAAGAATAAATGGGGATAATACTTTAATCACATGACCAGATGCAAACCTTCTATACAGTCACACTTCCATACAGTCACCAGTTTTGCCTAGTCCCAATGGTGTGACTGTAGGGGAGGTTGACTGTAATAGCCTACTCTGCTCCCTGTCATACACACTCTCTGGAGTGCCTTCACCTCAAGGGCCTTTGGACACAATCCCACCCCTCACCATGAAGACATTCTGAACCAACTCCTAGGACATATTAATATCCTCCACTGATATACAAATAGATCCACAAACCTAAAACCCCTGGACTCATCCTAACAAAATACAATCAATCATTCAAATATCCAAATAGATACATCTCCCCTGATCCCCAATATAAATAGCTCCTCCCATGAGCTGCATGTATTGTAGATAGATAAACACAGCCCTAAACTGGTACTAGTGTGCACATATTAATATATTGTTCCTATTCCTATACTATTGGTTAGCTCTACTAATTAGGGTCTGATTGATATCCTGAACTTCTGTACTGAACCATTCGAAATTATGTACTGTACTATATCAATACATACTAACTTTTGGTACAGTACAGACCGTAATATAAGTGTTGTACTGTACCTTTTCAAGGCCTGTACTACGTACTAGTTTTGAATTACAGTACAGCCCCTTTACTATTAAGCCAAACAATCACGGAATCTGTCTAATATAAATATTACTGTCCATTATAAATATAAAGTTTAAACGCAAAATTCTGTGCATAGAAAGCTTTGGTCAAATAACCTAATACGACATTGTCATTTTTTTCATTCGTCAGGCTGGTTAACTGGAAAAGAAAGAGAGAAGCGCTGGTAAAGCTTGTCATCGATGTACTGTACTGCAATTAGCATATCCCACCATAAGCTAATAACTAAAATTCCCGGCCTCAACGTTTCAAACGTAAACTTTATTCAATTCGTATTTTACAATACGTACTATTCATAATAATCACGATCATCTGCGTGCGCCGCCAATAAGCTATACACGCCTGTTGACCACAGCAGACATGCTTTGGTATATTATAGCTGGGTACCGTCTAGTTTGTAGTCCAAGACTCGATACTTTACTATTGTTGATTTCGAATTGACTAAGTTCCTTTTCCATGTCAGTAAATCTCTCGTCATCTGTACTCGTTCGCGTAGTAATTCGTTATGTCGTCCCTCCGTTATTACATTAACTTTGACGTTATTCAACGTAGATTCTTCACAGCTCTAGCGGTTCACCGTAGCTGTGTCAATAAAGGACCACCAAATCAACGTAGATTCTTCAGGGCCCACTGATTGGTGTTGCATTGTATTCTTCTAGTTGGAGTGTTTCTTACGGCTTTGCATTCTCTGCAATGCGTAACGATCGTCTTAATTGGTAATAAAAAAAAAAGACTTTGATTCAATCAACACTTACGCGATCGCCTGGTAGCAGCAGTTTGACGGTAACGAGTGAATTATTTATAGAACCACCAATATTATATCGTTTGCCACTGGTGGCAATCAAAATCACGTCCTCTAAAGGAAATAGAAGACTGTTAGAAGGGGTTTTATCTGAATTGAGAAATGTTCAACCAAGAACATAGTCTCGGTGGTTTGGGCATACCAGTTACTTTGGGATAGCTGAAAGCAGGGAGTGGGATATTCCATCTAAGTTTATATTAGCATAAGTGCTCTCACTGGCATTAGTGCTGTGTGGAGGTAAATTCCACAGACTGTTGCAACACCAGTTTCAGATGTCTGCGGATACTCATTGAATTCAACATAATGATTAACTTGATCAATAACTAATGATAGCCAGGTGAGGTCTCGTCTATACGTTATTAACAGTTAAGATATTAATATGCTACACCCAGTTAAAGAAAAGGCTGTCTCTATCCAATAGTTATAAGAACCTCACCTCTAAGGCGGTTGTTGTAGTGTTGGGATTAGCATCCATTTTAGTATTTAGTATTAGGTGAAAAAGAGTCGTGTGTCGTGGGAGTAGAAAGCGCGCAATAAAAATTTTTCTCATTTGAGGAAATGGTAGACGTACCGTACCAAATGATAATGGTACAAGGGGCCAAATACAGCACTTATATAGGTATGTAATATTTTATTTAGTACAACTTCATTAAATAGTACAGTACAGAATTTGAAAAGGTACAGTACAGAGGTTCTATATACAGTCAAACCTCTATAAATGCAACGCCTTGGGACCGAGGGCTATGTTGCATTTATGGAGGTTTTGCATTTATGGAGGTTTTCCTTATTAGGAAAGATTTTTTGATTGAACAGATTTTCCTTTATTATATATAATTCCAGCTAAAGTTACTTAAAAATTTGACTCTCAAAATCCTAATTGTTAACTAAGAATTGGGTAATACAGCTTTGTTTCATTAAATTTACCCGTTTTTCACGAATGAATTTCTTCAAATCATTAGCGGCTTTTAAATAACTGCTGGTTTCCTCTTGTTGAATTAGAAATGTTTTTATGTTTTCTAAACTTTTTAATGCCTCATTGGAACTCACTATTGGGATTTCATTACTATCATCATCAGTCTCGTCATCATGTTCTCTACTAAACAAAGAAACAATATCGTCACGCTCAAAAACGATATCTTCCTGTGAAAAAGACAAATACTCGTTTGTTGTCATCGCCTCAGGAAAACTCAACCTCACGATGGATTTGGACAATTCAGTAAGTAATTCGTCATTTAACGCCTGAGCTTCATCTCCACAGAAAACATTGTCAGGAAGAATCTTGGTAGCTTTCCAGCAATTAGAAATAACGTCAGATGTAACGTCATCCCAAGCTTATATGATGTATTGTATTGCTAATAAAGTACTCATTTTTAAATTTTTGGCATCCTCTCCGCTCTGGATTTGTTCTAACATCCACTGAATATGATATCGACGATAATGCTTTTTAAATGACATAATAATACCAGCATCCATCGGTTGGATTTTTGCTGTAGTGTTTGGTGGTAGGAAATGTATTTCAACGTTTGAGAGACTTGCAACGTGACTTGGACAGTTGTCTAAAATAAGTAAGACAGGTTGACCTCCATGCAATTTGGAAATTTCAATATCAAAATTACTTAACCATTCTTGAAACAAGGTTGTTAACATCCAAGCACTGTTATTGTTACGGTAAGTCACCCTTAAATTGTTGAAATTTACATTCTTAAAACACCTCGGTTTTGCGTATTTACCGATTACCAAAGGATTTAGCTTGTGTGAGCCATCAGCATTCGCGCATAGAGCTATGGATAGACGTTCTTTATTCTTTTTTCGTCCCGAGGGACGTGTCGTCGCCAGCGATCTATCAGGTTCCAACCGATAAAACAGACCAGTTTCATCCATATTATAAATCCTGTCTAACGGAAATCTTGACAGTTTTTCACGCAATGATGGAAGATTCTCGATAATGGCATTCTGATCACTTGAGCCTGCTTCACCGTGAAGTTTTCGTAACTGAATTCCGTTTCGTTCTTTAAATTTCTAAAGCCAACCAGAAGAGAATTGTAATTTACTTTCAGGAATTTGTAATCTTTCAGCAAATAATTTAGCTTTCGCTATAATAATCGCATCACTCAAATGGTACGATATTGGTAAGTCAGTATAAACTCCATAAGTGCATGCTCAAGTTCAGGAAATTTGACTGATTTGTGCCGTTTCGAATCAGGGTTAGTGATGTCCTCATTTAAACGTTTATGACTGTCTTTTAAAATTCGGGAAACTGTAGATTTATGGACCGTGACGTTCCATTTAACTTTAATCCAATTGACATATGCTTCAAGGGCCGCTTTATTATCACGGGCATATTGACAAAGTTCAAATTTTTGTTTATCAGTTAAAGTAGTTTTATTGGATTGATTGCGCGACATTTTTGGTTTATTTTCTGCTCCCTCTTCAAATTTCATCATCTTTATACCCTTTGATAATATCTACATTAAAAATTGAAGCTCTTCCGCTAGTTTCAAAGCTATTGTAAAATGAAACAAACAGTTTCTAACCCAAACGTTTAAAGAGTCTTTCCTCTGCACAATTAGATCCATAACAATAATAATCAATTAACATTTTTCCGTTTCAAAATTATTGTAAACAAAAATAAAGACAAAATACTGAAAAAAGAAAGTAGCAATTCTTCACATATAAAACTCAATCTGTAACAAATAATGCTGAATAGTGATGTTGATGTTCTGTCCCAAATCGAAATTGACCCAATTCGGAATAGGGTCGACCCAAATCGCGATCGCGTTTCGGGTTGGCCCAAATCGAAA